GATGGCAGTGGTCTAGGCACAGTCAAGACCAACGGCAAGAGAGGAAGCCGGAAGGCGGGCACGCCTGGTGCAGCACTCAGGCGCAAGAAGGCTCCGAAGGGCAGGGGCAGGGGCAAAACGCAACCGAAGACGGTGGAGACGGAGGATGGGGAGGACGAAGCAGCATCGAGCGGCGCTGAGGTTGACGACAAAGAGATGCTTTATGACACGGCAAGCCAGGACTTGCTGTACCGCAACACTCGCAGCAAGAACCGCAGGCACACTACGGCACCGAAAGGCCGTACCGCCCACAAGCACGATGCAGAGTCCGAAGACTATGACGCCGGATCAGACGACGATGTCGAGGATGGCGGTGCTTAGGCGACGGGGACGAGTAGAAGACCCAATTTGCAACGTGGGGTGGAGAGCGTTCAGCAAAACCTGGGAAGAGGTCCGCAGAGTTGTGTTTCCTGCATTGACATAGCTTTTCCAAACGCATCGCCTGGAATCAGGCTCAGTTCGAAGTGTCATGCAGCTAAGTTAGTTTCGATGAGTGCTACAGCAATGTTGTCCAGTAGGACGGATAAGCGCAGGTAGGGCGTTACCATCGAGCCGGCTCATATGGTTCGAGTGGTCCTCTGGATTCCCTTCCTCATGTACTATTGACACTCGTGCGAACGATGTGACGCCCTCATTACGGTCGAGACTCCACTATCGTACAATGCTGTCCTCCACAAGTGATACAAGGTAGCTAACAATGCGTCTCACCCTCGGCTTTGTCTCCTCTACAGCAAAGCTCCTGCCCACACGCCTTGCTCTGCGCTATGTTCGTTCATCGCCGCAGCTGCAGTCTTCTGTACTGTCGGGCTGTGCAGTAGTTGGCTTCCAGCACACAAAGATGATACTGCACCAAAGCGGTAGACTGTCGTCTTCCCGCGCTGGACGGCGACCACGCCAGCTTCTGCGGCGACTGTGTGCGAGTCCCCTGGTGGCCACCTTGGCGACGGCGGCGACAGACGTGGGGACTTGTGAGCGCGTCGGGACACTGAGACATGTCTTGACAAGCGTGAGGGTCGCCAGCGGTGTCCAATTGGCGAACACTAGAGTGTTCGTATGGACGGAGGTCAGTGTTATCATATCTAAGGCCTATATCAACCTGGGTGGATACACACAGTAGTAACAATGACGAGGGGATGGAAGGTGCCAGGCGAACTTAGCGGCCGTCAATCCCATCTTCCTGCCTATAGTCGGAGATGGCTGGCTACTTAGATGACGTGGGACCAGGATACTGCAACAGAATCTAGATTATATGGAACGCTCTAAGCTTGTTACCATGGTCTTTCTGGTGCTTGAAACCTTCGCCTGCCATCATACCATGCACATAGGCCTCGCCGATGAACGTATATTGGTGCTGAGAATCGAGCGAGATAGGCAGGCGACGCAGCTCCTGCTCAGCCTGGTCCGGATGAAGCACCTTTCGTACCCCGGTGCTTGCGTAGGCGGTGTCGAGAGCCTGTGGTCTGACGAAAAGGCTCGGGGCCGGAGTCGATGACTCAGTGGCATCAGCATCTGAGCCGGCAGTATCGGAAGTAGCTCGGGAAAGAGATATTTGTGGTTTGGTGGACTGGCCTGTACGTTCGGCCGTTGACGAGAGGCTACTCTCTGCGCGCGTTGAGATGCGTGGTCGAGACGTATCGTCTTCGGCTTTGCGTTTCCTTTGCCGCCGCAGCACCACAGGCACACTGCAGCCGTACAGGATGCAGATGAGATCACCTTCCTCGGCTTCAGGAGGTACCAGCGCAAGCAGCTGCTTCGAACCTCTCCGGCCCTCCGTCAATACAAGCATTCGGTCCCAAACAACCGCCTGAACTCTACGCAAGAACTCTGTAGCGATTGAAGGGCATTTGCCGAATGTCAACAGCTCGTTGGTGTTGATGTTGCCTCTACGACTTCGCTGCTCGAAGACCCATTTGCAGGCGAGAGGATAGTACGCTGGAGGGTACTTCGCCTAGATAGTTCGGATGGTTGTGGAAATCCTTCGAGCTTTGGAAGAGATGCCTGAGGTCTCGGTGGCGCGCGACAAATAACGCGGTTGCGGCTGAGAAGTCCGGCCAAGTCACAGACTGGCTGCCGCAGAACAGAGTCGCACTCCTTGCGAGAGAGATCTCCTGCACAATCCATCTACGGTTAAACCATGGCCTCTGCATGAGATTGTGCAGCGCAGCCCATTCGGCAGGCGTTCCAGGGTCTTGGGTGAGCGGATCGAAGTCCTCTAGGTTGAGCAATCGCTCGATGAACTCAATTGCCCGTCCACTATCGCTGTCCTCCCGGCCAAGCCAGACAGAGACGCTGTCCGCGCGATTATATATCATCGCCATCTTCTGGATCTGCGTGTTCTTTTCTGGGATGTCGGCCTGGTTGATAGCGATGGCATCCACCCAGAACATGGCCGACTCGTTCTGCGGGATATCGACACGTAGTCGCTGGAGTGCATCGTAGAGATTAGGCTTGACACCCAACTGGCAGAGCCGTCCATTCTGCAAGACCTTGATGGAGTGACGAAGGGACAGGTCGGGGCCCCAAGTATAACTGAGCGCGCTGTAGCTCGGTGCGGTGGGTACATTGACGCCACCTTCCCGCGTCAACACTATCTCATGGTTACCGACAGGCTCGTCGTCCTCTGGCAAACGAAATGTGTGGATGTCGCCATGCAACTCCGAGTCTGCTGCGCCAGCTTGAAGTTCCAAGAGACGGATCTCATCAGCTTCCAGCGGCTCGTACGAGTAGTCCCGCATGAACAGATACACGTGGTAACTTGATCACAACAGTCACCGGCTCTGCAGACAAAGAGACGATGTGCAATGGCCATTGCGAGATACTGGTGAGGCTGAGAAGGATAGCCGGCCCTGCCACTGTCTCATTGGCCACGGCACGGTCCGCTTCGGACGATCATCACCCAGTCCGCCAGATGCATCTTTGACCCGGCTCGCACTCGACAACCACGCCTCCGGGCAGGACAATCACCAGGCAAGGCCATGAGGTGAGACGAGATACCCAGCTCAGACCTATGAGCCTATAAGCCTATACGCACACGAATCGACGCCACGTAGCAGCTCGGCTCCCGAAATCATGAACATAGGAGGTAGGGGCATCTCCCAGCACAGCGCGTGCGAGCGTGTATTTTGTAACCTGTCATATTCATACAACTATGTTGACGTGTCTGGGTGAGGCTCGCTAGCGCGTTTCGGGAGCTCGCATAGCAGGCAGCAGCACACTGCCAGTCTGCCAGTGCCATACTATCCGACTACCAGCCTTGAGTTGAAAGTTCACCTCCCTCTTCCACACCCTACTAGTGCCCCCACCACGGTTACCGCGGCTCGCGTGATGCCGACGCCGGCGAGTACCTCATCGGCCGCGGACGGCCGAGACCGTAGCAGCCTATCAGCGGCCTCGGGCGGACCGCCGTACAAGAGTTCGGATTTTGTACGATTAGTGACTACAGGCGTGCTCGGAGCAGCCCAGACGGCAAGCGATCCTCCGAGCTGGCCGGCGGCAAGATCGCAGCGCGGTGGGAGGGAGGTAGGAGGCACACGCTCGGTCGAGACGATGTACGACAGCCTGGGATCGCACTCGGAGCACTCGGGTGCACTGGCATCATGGCGAACGACGCACTCTTCACGTACACTCGCCTGTGGATCGGACGGTGCTACATTTTCTTCCAGGGGATCGCAGGTAAGACGCGCTGTGTCCTGCAAGCCCAGCACTTGCCCATTAGACCGCCCAGCATATTGAACGGCTCATGCTCACCCAATATAGCGTTCCGGCGAGCATCCTCGCACCATCCAACCGACACCGTTCGCAGTCCCGAACGAATCTACATGCCGGAAGCAGAAGCGGCGGCCAACGACGGGCGCGCAGCGTGACCCGCAGTCATCCTTCCGCGCAGGACGGCCTGTTACAGGCAATATGCGCCCGCGGGAAAAGACTAGGACCGACCTGATCTTCAAGCATGACAAGCGCTCGAGCTCGAACGTACCGGCCGCCCAATCGCAACTCGCACAGCATAATGAGCTTTCGCGTGCCCCACAGCCTTTGGGTGCACTCCCGCCGCCACTGGGTTTCACCTTTACCATCAGGAATGCTGATACGGTTGATCCCAATCTTGTAGGAGAAGTCCACCGATATTCGGGTGCACTACCGCTGTCACTGGATATCACCTGTACTATCAGGAATGCTGATGGCGATTGTTTGGAGTGTGTCAACAGCCATCTATCCCGCAGGGTATAGGCTAGCTAAGCCACCCAAGATGGGTCATACCATTTGCACTATAGTGCGAAGAAATGGTGCGGACAGGTCGCTGAAGGTACAGGCATTCGACGACGATCGGCAAGGACTAGTATGCAACACGTGGGGTTGACAGCGGATGCATTCATGCAAGGCGAGAGGCGTCGCACGGTGACCGCGAACCGTTGACGCCGTGACCACGACCGCACGACGTCGACAACACGAGCGAGCTCACGGCGTAACCCATGGGGCCTTCGCTAGCGCACTCCACAATGAGGGAACCGATCACGTGATGTGAAGAACTTTTCAGAATCTGTGCTGCTTAGCGGCATACTTACTCATGACGGCATAGCGCGAGAGAGGACACTTGTAAAGGGAGTAGGTAGAGCAGATAGAAGAGTATAGGTACCTCATCGACGCGTGGTCATCCGTCTAAGAGTTCAGGTCGCTCTTGAGACGTGCCCCGGAACTGCATTTCTCCAATGTCTGGAGGGTTCAGCGGAGCGGGTGAGTGGCAGTGTTACCACTCGTCACGGAGTACAAGACGGCCGTATCGCTTGGGGTGGACGTCCTTGAGATTTGAGTGGGTCCGCATCTTGGGTATGAGTAATATAGCCACGGCTGCCCACCTCAAAAGTCCCGGAATGACACATGAGAACGGTTGTACGTCGGAAACATCAACACAGTGTACTTAGAGCAGCAAAATTTCTATCTTCACAAGCAGAACACTCTCAACAGCGCGAATGGTCTAGTTGGTTATGACGCATCCTTAACATATTCAAGATTCTGCTCACCCAGATCTTGAACAGTTAATTCGGATGAGGTGCTGGGTTCGATCCCCAGTTTGCGTACATCCTTTTTGCAAACTGAACATGTGCATTGAAGGGTAAGTCGCACCAGTAGCACTGCTGTATGTGAACATAAGGGCCCACGTTCCAATTTCAACAGTCTGCAGTGTAAGTGAAGAGGCATTATTTATCTTCGAGACACGAGCTGACTTAGACCCTTCGTTATGAGCAGTCAATCCTCCACGAAATCAAGCAGACCATTGCTTTTGTTATTCCGGCTCCCACAATTGAAATTTGAGCCATGGTGGAAGCATACATCTTGATAGCAGACAGCCATCACCAATTAAGTAGTATAAGACCCCGATAGCCACGGAATCCACACGGAATGCCTCGCCGCAAGACAGAAGACACCGGGCGTACTGCCACCCCAACGCCACCGGACTTCCCAACCCCAGCCCTAGACTCCACGGAACTCCGAATGTCCTACCGCATAGCCCGCGGCGAACAAGGCGTCCTAACCTTCGAGCCCTACAAATCCACATTGCTCCCGCACTGGCGCTTCAAGACCGTGCCCATTGCTGAGCACTCATCCCAAACACTGTACGCAGCTTTCACGCACTACGTCAGCGCTCGCGATTTCGTCGGCGCGGACATGGCGCGCAAGTTCATTCAGATGGGCATGACGAGGGCGAAACGGTATGCTAATCACAAGGGCGGGCGGAAGTACGATCGGAGTGCGAGGGAGGTGGAGCGGGATGGGGGTGAGAGGGTGGAGTTGGCCAAGTCGGAGGGACATGAGGGGCGGGAGGAGAAGTTGCAGGCGAGTGAGGTGTTTAAGGGGGTGTGGAGGCAGTGTACGGGGGATGAGCGGTATCTAAAGCTCAAGGAGGAGTTTGTGGCGGAGCAGAAGGCTTGGGAGAGGGAGCAGAAGAAGGTTAAGAAGGAGGAGGAGGCAGAGGTAAAGGCGGAAGTTGAGGACGAAGATGGAGACGCTGGCTAATGGCGGGGTTGAGCAACAGTGAGTATTGCTGCTACATCCCGTCTTCTAGGGTATCTTCAACCACGCGCCACGTCACACCCCGCCACACCGTCTGCGGCCCATAAGGTACTCTGGCGAGAAGCCGGCTAAACATCTTCGAAAGCTTTGACAACGCTCTCCGGAGTACCAGCCTCAGCTACGTCCTCTTCGTGCGCTTCTTCTTCTTCCGCTTCTTCTTCGCCTTAAGCCCGGCAGCTTTGCTTCCAGCATTACCCTCTGCCCCACCCTCAAGCCCATCGTCCTCGCCATCAAGCAGCTCCATGTCATCTTCTTCATCCTCGTCTTCATCATGCTCCACTTCATCATCATCCCCGGCAGCCTGCTTCGCTTGAGCCTTGACAGCATCCTTATCGAAGCGCCTATGCTGGCCAAACTGCCTCCGGTTCTCGTCCTCAAATCCCGCCTTCTCCTTCTTGAACAGCATCATGGCGGCTCTCGCATCCTCAATCGACGAATGCTCACCGGTTTGGATCGTTATGCCAAGCTCACTCTTCGTCAAATTACGCAGCGCAGGCGGTTTGCCTTTGCTATCGATCCGGAATTTCGGGTGCCGACTCGTGTCTCTCAGGTCTCGCTTCGAATGTGACAGCAACAGCGCTTGTAGATCGTTCCTCAGCGCATGCCCGACTAATATCCGGTCCTTCAGAAGCTCCGCGACATCTCGCTGCACTTGCGCAAAGGGCCGAGCATAGCCTTCTGCCAAGTGGCTCGGCTTGATGCCAGAGACGTGTGTCCTATAGTCCTCGACTCTGACCCCCTTCGGAGGCAGGACATATGCGTCGTAGATCTGCTCGCCGTGGAAGTTGACGATCGAGGCGCGCGCGAGCACGTTGTCCGAGTGTGGTGGTGGGCCGGTGCCAACCATCTCGCAATCAAGGGCGATGTATTTGCCCGCCTTGTGCGTTGGATGCAGCCCGCCGTTGATCTCATCGTCCTGCCTGCGGATCGAGCCCGCAGAGGAGCCATAGGCCGCCGAGACATCCTCTGGTGCTATGCCATGCTCTCTGACCAGCCTTGCGCGATCGTGTGTCGCACTCCCATTTCCCGCCGGCTTGGACTCGCCATTGCCCATCTTCCGCCGCTTCCCAAGCGTGTCGGTATTCGTGCCTGACAGCTTCGTCTTCTTGAAGCCGGTAAATGCCTTTTTCTCCTCCGCCCTCTTGCGCTTCACGCCATCGCTTTGCGCCTCCGCCTTCTTACCCGCGTTGAGCCGGCCCTGCAGGATCTTCCAATTGCTGGACACCAAGCTGAGATCTAGCCCAGGCATGCCGTGCTATCCGTGCATCATCACCGCTTTGCAACGTTCCTCTGAAAGTCGTCGAGTGCCTTCACCAGAAATTATCTGGCTCGAAGCGCAAAGTGAATCTTCCAAGCGGACAGATTCCGCTCGGCAACCCAAGATTGCGACCGGAGCCTTGACGGCGACATCCATCACGATATCGCGACAACAGCATCGGAACTCGTACAGAATACACGCCGTTCTTTCCTTCGCTAGACCGACCAGTATGGCGCCGCGAAACGATGTCAAAGATGGCGCACATGGCTCGGATGAGCCAAAGGCCGAGTCGGGTTACGCCACCCTGGCCACGTTGAGGTATGTACACAGTATGGCTAGATCCTTCTGATGATACCGAACGCGTTGCTGATGTTTCCATAGAATAGGTGTGAAGGCGATGGTCGAAAAGGTCAGCGTTTAGAACATCTGAAACGCCCAACCGTAGACCCTCTAGCTGGTTCGCTTTGACGGGAGGGGCGGCAGTACAACAATGCGGACCATGATGCCCTCACAGATCTGGTCGACGTATACACGAGATGCAGGACAAATGCTGACTGAATTCAGGACGGCGTCAAACGGAAAGCCGAGATCTTGTCGATGCAGACGAGAAAGGGTCGACCGACATTCTACGTACATTATGAGGAATTCAACAAACGTCTCGACGAGTGGGTCGCAGCGGAGCGACTCGATCTGTCGCAGGAGGTCGAGTGGCCAGCGCCGGACAAGTCCGAGGCCAAAAGCAAGCAGAAGACTGCTCAGTCCAAGGCTCAGCAGGTCTCCAAAGCTGAGTCCAGAGCGCAGCCATCGCGGTCTCACAAGCGGCCCCGGTCTGCGACCGCAACTAGAGAGACATCAGAGACGCCTGTCGACTTCTCCGTGAAGCCCAGCAGACGCCCTTCGCAGCAAGGTGGCAAAGAGAATCGCGACCCGACCGTCACTGTAGCCACTGAAGACATTGGTGGCACGCCGCAGCCTGAAGATGAGTCCACCTTCGACCTGGTGGACATGCAGGAGGCCTCCATCGCAGCGAAAGCAGCACCCAACCATGCACCCTACAGCCGCGAAGAAGAGATCGAGAAGCTCCGCACCGGCGGCAGCATGACGCAGAACCAAACGGAGATCTCCCGCGTCCGCAACTTCGAGCGCATCCAGATGGGCCGGTACGAGATAGAACCTTGGTACTTCTCCCCCTATCCCGCCGAGTTCACAGACTGCGACCTGGTCTACATCTGCGAGACCTGCCTCTGCTACTTCGGCGGCAGCACGCAATTCATCCGGCACCGCAAAAAGTGCACCCTACTCCACCCGCCCGGCAACGAAATCTACCGCGACGACAACGTCTCCTTCTTCGAGATCGACGGCCGGCGCCAGCGGACCTGGTGCCGCAATCTCTGCCTGCTCAGCAAGCTCTTCCTGGACCACAAGACGCTGTACTACGACGTCGACCCCTTCCTCTTCTACTGCATGACCTTTCGCTCCGAGCACGGCCACCATCTTGTCGGCTACTTCAGCAAGGAAAAGGAATGCGGCGAGGGCTACAACGTCGCCTGCATCCTCACCCTGCCCCAGCACCAGCGCAAGGGCTACGGCAAGCTGCTGATCCAATTCTCCTACGAGCTCTCCAAGATCGAGAACAAGCTCGGTTCGCCCGAGAAACCGCTCTCCGACCTTGGTCTCCTGGGCTACAGAGCATACTGGCAAGAAGTCATCGTCGACCTGCTTGTCGAGCGGGAAGTTGATGGCGCGCCGATGATCAGTGTCGAGGACTTGGGCCAGGCGCTGGCGATGACGACGAATGATGTGCTGCATACGCTGCAGAACCTCAACATGCTGCGGTACAACAATAAGAACCATGTGATTGTGCTGACGGATGCGGCGATTGCGCAGAAGGAGCGGCAGAAGGCGAAGGAGAGCGTCAAGGGCCGGAGGGTGATTGAAGCGGATCGGATGTCCGGGTGGAGGCCGCCGGTGTTTGCTGCGAGTGCGAGGACGTGGAACTGGTAGGTGGGGAGTGGTGGTGATGAGTGTAGTGCTGGGATTCAGCGTGGCGTTAAGTGCGTGCTTACTCTAGATACCCTTTGACTGTGCATTTCATGTATTCTTGGCGTTATCAGTGCGTCTGCTATAACATATCAGTCTCTTGTGGAGATACGACGACAGAACATAACATCGGAGCTCGGAGCGCAGACCGTCGGTCGCAATGGAGGATGTGCGTCGGCCTTCTCATCGTTCCCCTAGCTGTGAGCTCGCGTAGAAAACTAGAATCCACGGAGCAAAAATCCCGAAGGCTAAAGCCATCTTCAATGTCTCACCCAATCCTCAAGCCATTTAATGGCGACCACGTACGTGCACCGCCCACCTGTGCACACTATGCAGCTGGCTGTGCTTCGTCCTTGTCGTCGTAGCTACCATAGGCGTGGCTGGCTGCGATGGGGTTCAGTGCATGAGCCCAGTCCATGTCCCAACGATCGCACGTCCCCGCCTCCGAGCAGGCCAAGACAGCTGGCATGTCGTCCGCCTCGGTCTCACCACGTTCGCAGCTACCGCTCTTCCAGCACGGAGTGTCTAGTGCGAAGCTGGCTTCGTCCTCGAGCTCAGGGACCTGGGATTTCGAACGCATCGGGAGCGGTAGACCTAAAAAGTGGGACTCAAATAAGTGGCTGTCATATGGGCTGCATCGGGACACGTGGACGAGAGAACTTACGCCACAGCCATGACGCCGAGGAGGCAGACGAGGATGAGCGTCTT